TTATTGTAGTTATCACACTTTGAACAGACAAATAGCTACTCTCCTCGTCATTGCTGCCCACATAAGCCCAGCCAAGATGCTCTGCAACTGCTCATTCCTCACTCATCCTACAGAAAGGGCAGCAAGACTGACTAGATAAAGTCCTAGGCCACTAAAGGATAYAGGCAAGAGCTCAACAGAAAGCTTTGGCTCTGGGCATCACAGGTGAAGTTGCTCCTACATTCAGTTGTTCCTCTCCAGTTCCTTACAAATCTGTGGGTGCTTCAGTAGAGCTGGTAGACTTGCAGGCTACTCCTGCTGATTGCCTTTTCTCAAGGTCCTGCAGCCTTCACAGATGAATTTTCGCAGCCCTCACTGATGCACTGGCGACCTGAATGCAGCCTGACAAGCTTCGTGAATGTTGTAGAACCGTTTACTTGGGCTGGAGCCTCCACAATAAAAGACAAAAAATAAAAGCGTGAAAAATATCACACTGGAGAGTGCGATTTGGGCAGAATACAGAACAGAAAAAAAGCTGCAGCTCAGAGCCTGAGCAAGGAAGCTCTGCCATTTATCTTGTCCAGACAAAGCAAGTGCATTAAATGCATGCTTCAAGATCTTATGCACAAGCATCAGCAAAAGTGCCTGTGCATTAGCACGCAGCCAAAGGAAACACAAACAGGAGACTTGTCTTCTCTCCCYACTGTTGGTTATAATCCCCCTGCTTCTCTTGCTCTCCAGAGCTGTGTATCCACAGCACCATATTTACTTACCTACCTGAAGGGGATACTCCCTTTCCCGAAGCTTTCTCCACAGCACAGAGAAGGAAGCAGCACCTGCCAGAGAAGGACAACAGCCCGGCAAGATGGGTCTGCCAACCCAAGCCAGGTGCCCCAAATCAGGCAGTAAGTTATTTGTCCCCCTCAGTTCCCCCATTGGGGCTACACTGATGAGTGAATCACCAGGGAGTGATCACCCTCATCATTAAAGGTCATATACATAATTGGTCATTTTTTTCCACCAGTCTTTAATCAAAAAGGGGACGCTATAAAAATAGAAACAGTATTGTAGAAAATTATATTGTAAAGCAGAAACCATGTAGACAAGGATGAAATATTTTCCAGTGCTTTAACATAGCTTTGGAAATCCATCAGACTACAAATTGTTGGTGTCCCTTTAGGCAATCTCCTGCAGAAGGATAAATCTTGGACTCAAGCCGCTCATACAAGAGGTGACCTTGGACAAAAGCCACAAAGATGGCATCAAAATAAACCAGCATATGTCCTCTGACATTGTGTGTAAGTAACTGGTGCTTTTTTATGCAACAGAACTGGGATTAAAATCAACTACTACTCCCTCTTGAAATGTTAAAGAAAACTAACCTCTTTTTATTCTAAAAAAGGAACAGAGTACAAAAAACCATGCTTGAAACTGAGCATTAAGAGTATATGATATAGTTTTTCCCCTATCATASTTAACCATGAAAACATGATGCTTTCTGTATCTTCCCCAACTTGCTATACAGTTACAAAATCTTAATTATTGAAAGAAATTACTTCATGAATTGTGCTAAAGCACAGAAAATTGTTTAAGATCTATTTCAAAATACTTTATATTATAGTCTATCTACAGAAGGGTACAGAATAAAAAAAGAGTCCCATAATTGATATTCTGTGTTCTGTGGGAATACCTATTGATAGAAAAATCTGGCTTCSTTGTGCACTTCTTGCTAGTTCAGGATATCAGCACCACCAGCAGGGACAACCCCCAAGAGGAATGCGTGTGAGAGGAGAAAGACAGAGGAACCCAGAAGCACAAGTAAGTGACAATATTTCTGCCTTTACAAAAAGGCAAAAGCTGAGGAGCTAAGGAGATGCCCTCACACCCCGGAAGACACTGTGTCCTAGAGCTACGTGATAGATATGAAAGGAAAATGGTAACCAAGTCTTACCAGAGCAGATGGGAGATAAATACAGGCAGTCTCCTCCACCCTGCTGTAATCAGCAGCAAGGCGTGATTTGCAACCACTAAGAGCTGCTACTTCAGTCACCCAGTGGCAGCTGGTTTTCAGTGTGTTTGATTAGAAGCATCAATCATTCAGCGGTAGAAAACCCCATTCCCAACAACGAGGAGGAAACGACCACAAGAAGGAAGGTGGCTTGAGAACAGGCAGAATTCTCATTTCTTGAAAGAACAACCTTTGGCAACTCAGGAAACTCTGCTAGTTCCTCCAACCTGGTGGGTCAAATAGTCCTGGGTTCCGAAATCAGCTGGACTTAGAGCACAGTGGGGAAATATTAGCAACCGCTTTACCTCTTTCTACATGGAAACTTACCTTTGTAAAATCAGTTATCCTTTTGATTAAGAACACTACTGGATAAGCATTCTGTAAAGGAAYATCAGAAGTAATATTCTTTCTTGGAGCAATTCCCATGTTCGCATTCCCAGTGAAATTAATGYTCAGAGAAATTCTCATGCCTGTATTGTCATCTGCCAAGGAGATATTTTTGTCCAAATAACGTATACAGATCCCATCAGTATTTCTCCCACACAATAATGTCAGTTGAGCTAGTCTAGCTGTAAACCCAGGGTTTTTATTCAGCAGACTTCAACAGTCATGATCTGGGTTGTACTGAGGAACCAGACCTCATTTAGTCTTGCTTAGCGCTGATGCATTCCYGAGTGGTCCTTGAACAGGAGCGAGCGGCGATGGCTGCTCCCGCTCAGGACACGTTGGGTACACCATGGTGTCCTTGGATTACTGCTGCTGCAGCCTGGTTCTGCCCCGGCACCCTGCAGAAAGACGCTCTGAGCAAGAGCCTCCTGCGACACGGGGTTTGCTTCCTCCATGCACACGTAGCTCTTCCAGCCACAACCGCTCCCGAAGTACAACCAGCCACGTCCCAGGTGAGGACAACCCCATGTAACGGTGCAGCCCTTCAAACCCATTGTGGCACCTGCACAACAACACACCACAACACAACCCGCACAACAACAAACTTGCAAGGCAAGGCATGCTCTGCCATAAAGGGCTGCTAGATTTAATAAAACACGGAGACTTGGAAGCCACCGTCATTTATTGCAGCTGCATCCTCTGCTGTACAAGGTACTGGGAGATAGAGTCTAACATCTTTAATAATAAAGGAGAAAAAAATCATCATTCATAAATGGATGTGACCTTCCCAGGCTACMTACCAATTTTTATCCTGAATTCCATTTATATGATTATGGAGAGTTTTCTGATGTGCACACAAACCCACATTGTAGCTTTTGCTCTACCAAATGAAGCAAAAAATTGCTAGGAACTCACACTGGAGTGACTGAAGTCCCAGAGATTTCATCAAACAGATCATTTAAATTAACAATTCGACAGAGCAGATGCCAAGAGAAAGCAAAAACTGATCGCCTTGCCTCTTGCTGGAGATTATCTCCACTCACCTCCTTCTCCCCATCTAATACAAAAACTCCCATTTTAAGGGTTTTGGAGGAAGAACCCATCTCTCAGTTTAAGAATGCAGCTCCGGCTAGAGGATGATCAACATTTTGTTTGATCAGAGGGCAGAAGGAGGCATGAGAACAAGACAGTTACTACCGTCCAAAACACCCTCTTTATGGGGCCTGCCCCAACTGGCCCTCACAAGCTACAGCATCACAGCTGACCCTACACGTTGCTACCTGCCGGGAGGCTCCGTGCTCCACCGGAGGCCTGTACACATGGAGACAACAGGAGCAGCCTAGCGCCCGTCCCGCGGCCCAGATGCACCTCTTGGCACGGGGTAAAATTAACCAGCGTCACCGCYGTTAGTAAGTGCTACCCCAGCGCTGCCGCTAACCACTGCTCCTAGCGACAGGAGCTGTGGAAGGGCCCGAGCCCTGCACAGAGGGAAGCGTTAGCGAACGGTGCAGCCCAGCAAAGCGGCTCCTTCTGCAACCCCCCAGCCAGGGAAATGCTCCGCTGCTGTAAACACCACGCTCGCCCTTTCTGCAAGACTGATCTCTTGTCCTGGGGAGGCTGCGTCAAACCAGCATTTTTATGAATTTCATGCGTAGAGGACTCGTCCAGGCTCTCCTGCAATCCCCTTTCACAAGATCAGTACCTTAATTATTTTGGAAAATTGCATTTGATGATCATTTACTCTCTCATGTACTTGACATGTCAATGATGCTCTTTCCCAGGCAGATCATGCCTGTGAGTAGCAGTTTTTGCAAGTGTGAGATCAGCAGATGCCCACCGCGACACAAACGCGCACACTGAGCTTTGGGCAACACACACATTTGTTAGAAATCAACTCCGGTGTGCTCTTGCAAACATGGTTTATGGCTGTATGAAGAGAGGCTATAAATGAGGTTGGGATCCTTGGTAGGTGGCACGTTACACATTTTTCCTAAAGAAGTATCACTCCTCCYCTACAAATGCACAACAGATGTAACACTCGACCTCAGCAATAAGATTTATTAATATTTTTAAAACAAATTCAGCACAGCTTAAGAGAGCACTGTACAGAATTAAGTTAGGAAGAGGTTCTTCTTGTCATCAATGCACGTTTTGCATCTGTTAATTCTTGCCCTTGGAGCCAACTCTGGGTAGTGTTTTAGGTCTCTCGCAAAGGCGACGGATCCTGCAACCCCATCTGTGAACACAGTGCAGAGCTGTCTCCCTCTTCCACTGCAGGCTTGGGCCCATTTCTCTTTTAATAAGCAAAATAAACCTGCATGCCCTTTTTCTGGGCCCAAAATATTTCAGGAGATTTATGTCAAGCATATAACCAACAGGATATGCAGTCCAAAGCAATTTTCACCCACTGTTTGGCAACCRAGAAGTAAAACATTACAGCTGCGATCAAAGAATGGAGTTTCATTTATATTGTTCTGTATTTATTTACCTCATGAATTTTTGTACTTCCCATTTTGTATATTATCTTGTTTCATATTTTCTTCAGAGGCCACAATTCTTCTGTTTTCTAAAACAAACGGACAAACAATAACCTGTCTATACATAATTTTCTCCTTTCAAAATACTCTTGTTCTTCCTCTTGTTAGGTCCATGTCCAAGATCTCCATGTGTGGAAAGCAGTGAGAGAAAAATAAGTGAAATTCTACTAACACAAGCACACTGAAAATCTCAAAATAAGGGACAGTTCTGGAAAAACCTCTGAAATGGTGAAGTTCGTGAAAAATTGGTAGACTTACACATCATGTGGTCATCTAGCATTTTGAGGGCAAGAAACATGAAAATCCAAACACAACCGGACACAATATTAAAAACACATTTAAAGGAAACGGTCAACAACTTCACCTATTAAATCATTGTTTAGATTTTGTGTTTCGCTGCATGTTGCGTGATCGAGAATGGTCCATGGGGTAGCCCCCGAGCAGTCCTCGCCGTTTGCCTCAGCRGAGCTGCCACTGTGGGATTTCACTTTGGAGATACAGATGCCCCTGGAAGTTTATCTCCTTCCACACTGTGCATCCAGCCAAGCACTGAAAGCTGGGACCTTCCGTGCAGCCTCTCGGCACCGGTGTGCGGCTTTCACTTTGGTTCCCCCGTGCACGATACTATCATCTTYTAACCAAAATCACCTTCTGATCCTCAGCAAGTTCAAAGCGTCGTCCCCAGCTCAGGGCTGCCCAAGAAGCCAAGCACACGCTCTTCCTGGAGAAAGGCACAGAACAAAATTCTTGGATACTTGCCCAATTCCTACCTCATCCCCAATACAAGTGCTTGGAGGTTCCCTCTGCATCGCTGTTGTCCAAAACCCATTAGTCAGGGAGTAGCTGGTCACTTGGCTCCCKTGGCACGGAGCACTTCAGGTAGCTTTTTGGGGGTACACTGGCAGTCTTTGAGGAAGGCTGTAACGCCGCGCTCTCCCCCAGGTAACTGCACACCTGCCATCTTCTCGGACAAGAGCTTCCCAGACCTTTTTGAGGGATGAATCTGCACTCTGCCAGGAAAAAAAAAAATCGCACTAAGGTTTTCACCTCTCATTAACAACTGTCAAATCCACAATACTAACACGTGGACAGATGTTTTTAAAATAATCTAAGTGCATTTGTGGCGAGCACTGTGATTAGATCCACAAGCCAGGGACATTTCTACCTGTCCAGTGCACGAGCACTGCTTTAGCACTCTGGTTTTACAACGCAGTTTGCTTACAGCAGCCACAGCAGTTGAGGAGATGTCTAAACCAAGCGAGTCAGCCTGTTTCTGTATCTCCTTTACAATATGACTTTCTGCTGCCTAGAACATTTTGAACACATGGGYAGTGTCCATCTCTACGGTATCCCATCTGTTTAGGGGAGGCCTTGACATCCAAACAAGAAGAGTGCTGTGTTCACTGATCCTTCCAAGAAGTCAGTAACTGTTCCCGCTGTGCGCTCTGCCGAGATGAAGAAAACACGATGCTCTGTCCAGCTGCAGACACAGGGCTTCTCRGGCTTGGAAAAACGTTCTTGTTTGGGGGCAGAGATCCGTGTGGAGCTGGGCACCAGGCTGCCTAACATGTTCAAAAGGCTGACCAAGGTGCACAGCACCATTAGGCCTGCGTACTGCCCTGCAGAAAGCCTTGGAGTAAATTTAAGTACAATGTGTAGAGATCTCCAAAGGATTGTTTCAAAGGATTGTTTTAAGACCCGCCTATATTAAGAAGCAAATCACAGAACTGCTCCTCTGAAATTGCAAAGATTTTTTTTAATTTCTGTAACAACTGTACATCTCAAATAAGGGACTTCATCCTGTAGATACACAGGCAACAGACTGACTGCACAGCTTCATGGCCAAAAGCACTCAGAAATCTTTATCTTTTCACATATTTTGAATATCCCCTGAAAGGTCTGATAACATAATGGTTGGCAAAGGGAAGGAAAGGAGAGAGAAACATGGGATGAAAGATATGCTGGAAGCAAAGCGTAGTTAATCATTAGTGTTGTCCACTATTCCTTTGGCTCACAGAAGCCTCAAGACAGACTCCTGCTTTGTAATGACAAAAAAAAACCCCCTACTGCCCTACCTTCTCTCTTCCACAATACACGGTGGAATCCAGAGGTTCAGGCTGCCTGTTCTTCACGGGCAAACGGCACATCCTACAGCAGCTCATTCCACACCTCGCCAACAGCCCACAGGCACCGTTCCCCGTGGAGCAAAGCGCATCACCACGTCACTGCGTGCCTCAGTCTCCCCAAGCACATCCATTTCAGCGAGACTCTGCATGACTGCGGGTCTTGTGTCTTTGTTTTGTTTTATACTTTTTCCTTAGCTTGATATTTTCTCCTCTTCCCGGGGGAGCTGCCCATTTCGCTTTGTTATATAAGCGAAGCGCATACTTCAACTTTGAAAGAAAAAAGAGCAAAAAGAAGCAGCCCAAACATGTGGAGATTCTTATTTTCCTTTAAAGAGTGACAAAACAGCATTTGAAATTCAACACCCAGCAGCAGTTAATTTTATCTGAAAAAGAAACTTATCATATAAGTCACCATTTGCTACGATTACAACCTATACAATGCTTCTTTCATATGTAAGAGTTCCCACGGCACCCATATAGATGATCTTCACCCCCTGGGATCATGGGCATGGGACAACATAGCTCACTGGTCATCAGCCTTTGTTTTATTTTACAATACATTCAGGAGTCTCTATTTCCAACGGCACCTGGACCACRCTTCTTTAGCCCTTGCTGGTATCTTCAATTCAACGATTACCTTGGCTTCAAAGTGAGACAGTAATGCACATTCGTGTTACTCTCCCTTTAATGTAGTACAAAGCTGGACACAACTCAGGAAGAAATCCTTAAAATCCATTACCTATTTATGATCATGTACAAACGGATATTTATCATGTTAAAAGAGAACCRTATGTTAAAGGGGAGGCTAGAGCCCAATAAATCTTCTCGGATGAAATTCCTTTGAAAAAAAGGCAGAAAATTATTAATGTTTGTTTTTGCCAGTAGAAACATTTGGTGGTCATGAATCTCTTGGGAAGGGAAGGGCATTTAACCCTTTTACATGCCATCCCCTCAGACATCGCTGACCTCGACTGCAAWGTAAGACAACAAAGATTCCCGACTCCACGCTGATGATTAAACTTCTTGTAAGAAACATCTGGATGAAATTTTCTTGGCAGCTGACTGGAGAAGTACACAAGAAGCAGAGACAGAGAGCGGCCATAGTTCAGCTGAGTGACACAGAGATGTTGCTGYGCAAAAGCAGATTTTTCCTTGAACACATTAACTCCTAAATATCAGTTGGTGACTTTGCAGGCGACCTCATTAGCTGGAGAAAAATAAATCTCTTTTCTACTCTGCATGTTAGAGTAGGGCAGAGAGGGAAAAGGGGCTTTGAAAGAAATCTCACTTGACAGTCTCATTTTTATAAATAATAAAGGTCTTAAACATTTCACCCGCCTAATTCTTAAAATATATTGMCAGGTAAGCGAGTTCTCAGCCATCTTTCACTCCAAAAAAAGCACCGTGAATGATTTCACAAATGTTGATTTCCATAAATTTCACGAAGTTCTGAGAAATTCACCACAAACTTGCTGTAATGCCTGCCGACCATTCCGGGCAACGCTAAATCAGCACAAGGGCCCAGTGCTTCTCACGGCCTGGCTTTCCCAGCAGAGGTGTGTGGCCCTGCTCTCTGCTGCCTGAGCTCAAGCTCTGCCAGCCCCACGGGGCTCAGGGTGCTGTCCAGCTTTGCAAACACAGCCCCGGCCTCCTCGCTGACTTCTGTACATACAACAGCCYGAGGAAGCTGTCACTGTTGCTATGGAATAGCAATGAATGTGAATGAATACTGAATAAATACTACGAAGGAGAAAGCTACACGAACCAGGCCCATTTTCTCTGCAGCTATTGTAGAAAAGGAATCTAAAACAAAAGGAGCAGCAGAGAAGAGCACTGGGAGTCTGCCCCGAAGACTCCAGGTGGCTGCAAGCAGCAGGAACCTCCCGCTCCGTAAGCGGGAGCTTGAGGRGGTCCCAGGGTGTGGGGCAAGGAGAGAGACACTGTGGCCCTGCCCTGAAGTCGGGGACTAGAGGGCTTCAGATTTCTCTAGAGGGCTTCAGATTGCTCAGACTGAAACACTAGTACTCCAACATGTAGACTGAAAACGAGAGCTTCAGCACAGAGCTGGCCCAGCGATCTGCTATTCCTTGCCATAGTTGAAAATTTAATGGAGGAAAAGGCAGGGCTTGGACTTTTCAGTTGAGGCACTGCTCCAAAGAAACACTTATCCACATGTGGTTAACACTGCTTGGTAAAAGTATTTAAATCACAGAGAAATTAACATATAGACACAAAATCTTGGATTAAAAAGTCTACAACCCAAGCTTCGAGGTGCTGGCACTTTCTGATGCACCCCTATTTACTTAGTCTACATCCCTGGGATCCCAGCAGATCTAGCAGAGGGGCACCTATCCAAATTAAATTTTTCACGTGGTACGTTTCTCACTACGTGAACATATTCACAAAGGTCCAGTAACATGAATTTGAATTCATGAGAAACTAGCCTTTGAGATTTAGAAAAAAAAAAATCTGCCAGATAATTAAATTACAGYGTGGGACAAAGAGCCAAATGGAATGCAGAGCAGAAATTCAATCACAGAAGTATAAGAGTAAGAAGAGAAAAAACTCTGGAGCTGTTTTTGCTTCTACTGAGATAAATAAAATATGGCAAATATGCTGTACTACTTTGTTCGCACTACCACTGGAATGGTAATGAACAAATAAAACCAAAAAGGTTTACAGGAGCCCAAATAAAATCCAATATTCAGTAAAAAAAAGTGGAGATAAAACATCATCATGTAGGACATCTACATGCAAGGGCCACAGCGCTTCTGCAGGCAGGAGGAAACATCAGCGTAGACTTAGGCTACCAACCTGCCAGGCCACGTGTGCCATTATAACTCGAGTGAGTTCATTCCATGGCTAGGAGAAATAAATTAAAACCATCATATCAAGGGGAAATCTGCATTTTGTTCAGACACTTTCACACTGCCCGGGTATGCTTTACAGCTACACAGGCGCTTCCCTCTACACGTCCGGTGTGCTCCGAACAGGGAAGGTGAGASAGCACTCTGAACCCAGCAATGTGTGTGCGACCAAGAAACAATTAAATTATGTAGTACAAGGCAGATAACAGGAAAACATGGACCCAAGGCTTACAGTGTATCTAGAAATACCCTTACATTTAAAAAATTATAATGCACTCCAAAATTCATTTGTTCAGGCAATCCACATACAACAGAAGGCACTGTTATCCATAGGAATCTACCAATTCTGCACAGCAAAAACCTGAGAAGTGCAACTCAATTCGGTGCAATCTGGCCCCCTCCCAGTCCTTCAGGTTCCTTGAGGACAAACGTTTCCTCTTCAGTCCATCAAATCATAAAAACACCACAAGGATTTGTACATTACAGTAGCTGGCTAGAAAGCGCATTCTGGTGGGGGAAGCCCACTGAAACCTTCAGCAGATTACATTACCCTTCCCTATCACTCAGAAGCCATGGTGATTTTAATAAAACATAACGATGAAACCCTTCGCATTGACCTTTGCAGCTGCTCCTTCAGTTGCCACCGGGATTATTTCCAAAGTTAAATGCTGTGATCAGTCCTTTGTTGTCAAACGTGTAGCCGCTTTGTTGTTCTCTTGTCTTAGTCTCTAAAATTCAAAGAAGGAAAAAGATATGAAAAACGGTCCCTAGAGAACACTTTTGCCAGAGCGAATACACTTCAGCTAAGAATGGAAAGCTGTCGAATCAGAATTTGATTCCCCCTAAGTGCACTGACAGCAATAAATTATACTCAGGTTTTCTTTATATGCATAAATACAATGCATCTCTAGAACAGAACTCAGAAATTCATCCACTACAAAATAATTGTATGCGAAACTATTCTGCATGCTGCCCGATTCAGCTAAAGGTACATTCAATGACACAAGCTTTCTAAACTTCCAAAATCTTGGGGAAAAAGTTACAAAGCTGTTAAGACACACAATGTATAGTCATCTTCGTTACTGTCTAGTTGACAGCTAGGTATTGCCTTCACTTGCTCTTCATTTCAAGTGTCAGACTGTGCAAAACTAGTYTGGACTCTGTTCCAACAGCAGCTATATGCGAAGGAGGAAGCAAATAATCAGCGGCAACAGAAACTTCTCTGAGAAACACATACTTCCAGGCAAGGGATAGCAGGGGTGCAGTTTCCTACTCACACTTCTCAGGACTCCCACGTGCCTCCCGTTAATCAGCACAGCTCCTCACCAGCTGCAGGTCCAGCCCCYCTGAAACACAGGGCAGGGCCCGGGAGCAGCGACTCACCTGCAGCGCTTCGCCGGTGCTCGGCTGATGTGTAGATCTCCTGCAGCTGCTTCTTCTGATCCTCGCTGAGCGGGGCTGTCAGCGAATGGTACCAGGCGGCGTCTCGCCTCTGCACCGCTGCCGGGACAGCAGTGCGTGAGAAGTGAAGAACAAAAGGAAACGCACAGAATCCCTAGCTGGTTTAAAAACAGAACGCGTACTGGAGAAAACAAAAAAGCAAAACCAAACCAAACCAAAGTCCCCATCTCTTTGTTAGAGCTGGGTCCCTCTGTAAAAGAAGCAATTCATTTCATGGGACTTAATTACATGCTCTGCTTCCTGATATAGAGAATTAACAACGTGGCCATTATTGAAGGACAATGATGAAGTTAATCTTTTTTGATACGAATCTTAAATTAAAAGCAACATCGTTTGTCAACTGCTCTGGAGAAGAAGAAAATTTTTTTTCCATTGTGATTTTAACATCTAAACAGTGACAAATGTTTCTCTACATAGGATTATCTCTAGTGACTGAGCCCCACTTATTTAAGCTGTGGTTGAAAAGTTCAGAAAGAGAACAAASAGAATTAATCTCAGGTTGTATTTGCAAGCTGCTTTTTATGGTACTTGTTAGCCAAACAATTTTAAGACTAGAATTAAAATATAAAACCACCTTTTYCAATTTCAATAATCTAAATTATTACTCATATACGCAAAAAAAAATGACCAGAGACATCTTCAACCTGGTAGCTCTAGCAGCTAGAGCTCTAGCTCTAACTAGCAGACACCTACCTAAAAGTGCTTGTGCAAAAAATTGGTATTCATCGACACCATTTTCAAGATCAAGAGGTGTGCTGAACCCCTCAAGAGCAGTCTCTTCCAATGCATCTTCATCCCAGTCGTCGTCGTCATCATCGTCGTCCTCTTCCTCTCCACCACCACCGTCACCGCTGCCTCCACCATGGTTCTCTTGCATGGCCTGGCTCACTTCATTTGTATCCTCCTCATCACTGGGTATTTCTTCTGCAAAAGCATCAATGTGTTTTGTAAAGTACAGTTTAAAAATTATTAAGAAACAACAACCGATGAAGGAAGAGCCATGCATGAATGTATATTCTTGATGGAAAAAAAGAGATCTTCTGCTAATACCCCTTGCTCTCAGAAGAACAGGAGGAATTAAGTTGTTAAAACTTTCCCCGTGTCCAAGATCAGCAACATTTCTGTTTCTAGCAAGAACAGGGGGAACATGAAACTGCCTCTTTCTTTTTATCATGTGTGCACTGTCATTGCTCAGTCACGGAATCCTGAAATTTTGAACAAATTTGTCTACAATAGTATCCCATCATTGTACTTTTTAAATGAGGAACAAATAAGGACTTGTACATACTTTACAAATTGACAATAACTAAAGAGAAAACAAGATGTACGCCAAATGCCCTGCCTGTGTTCTTCAGCATGTTCCTTTATCAGCTTTCCTTTACATCCTGTTTAAAACCAACTCCACCATGCAATTACGAAAACTACTATTTCTCACTTCCCTGAATCCCAAACTTTCAGTTCTTCCAATGTCAACATGATAGACAGGAAAAAAAAAAGAAAAGAAAAAAAAAAAAGGATGACCATACCTGCAACAAGCAGAGGACTGAACCACAGCACACAGATTCGAAAATTAGTGTGCAGTTCCATACCATATTCCTATGCTTTGAGAAGAATGCAGTAATTCCCTTACTGAAAAACCACGTGTGAAATCTTAATGGATTATTTTATCTGCTTAAACCTAATCTAGTTTTCAGACCTCAAACCATCTATCTCCTGCTGCAGGTCAAACAGATTCACAAGCAGCTGCCTGCAAAGCTGTCTAAAATTTACTCTTTACATCTCCTATTCCCACCTATTCTTTGGACCATGTTTTGTCTGTCAGCCATAGCAGTAAGAGGAACCTGAATCTAAGGAAGGAACCTTCAGTTGCTTGAAATGCCACTTGTCTAATCACCGCATGCCACTTTCCATCTGGACATAAAAGATTTGCCAGGATTTCTTTCAAAGTTCATTAAAACAGGTCTTTAAACTAGCTGGCCACCAGGAACAGTTTCTTTGCAGCAATGAAGAACATGGCCAGTACAGTCATAGAATCATAGAATCATAGAATGCCGAAGGTTGGAAGGGACCTCAGAGGTCATCGAGTCCAACCCCCCTGCTCA